CTTCCTTTCTATATGCCTCTTCCACAAATGATGCTCATAAAACTGGAATACCACTTGCAGAAAGCTGAAGCATGATTCACCTTCCATACACAAAAATCAACTCAAGGTAGATCAGAGACCTAGGGGAAATTACAAAACCATAAAGATGTTAAGAGATAAAATAGGACCAACTTTATAAGGCCTAACCTATGATATAAATAGACTGACAACTAAAGTCAGAATTTCACAATCAGGAGAGGACGATATGAATGAATGGAACCTTCTGAAGATCAAGTCCCTGAATGCATCAAAATCTATTTCCAATAGGGAAAAGAAAACCTATTCACTGGGAAAAATATATTTGGTAATGACATCTCAGATGAGGGTCTCATAACCAAAATTTAGATAATCCTACAGGACTTCCACAAGAAAAAGATTGATAATACAGTTACAAAATGAGCAAAAGACATAGAAAGACTTTTTGCATAGGAAGATATTGTGATGGCTAACAGACACATGAAATATTCAAATGGTTATCAGAGAAATGAAAATCAAAACCACAATGAGATACCATGTCACACCAATTTGAGTGGCAAAGTTTAACAGCATAATAAGCAATAAATATTGGAGAGGACTTGGAGAAATTGGAACTCTCATACACTGTTGGTGGGATTGTAAAATGATAAAACCACTCCAGAAGGCAGTTTAAGATTTCCTCAAAAAGCTGAATGTAATGACTCAGCTATTTCATTGCTAGAAATATACCGCAAGGAAATTAGAACTGAGAAACAAATGAAGATATGTACACTATTATTTCTAGTAGCATTGCTCACAACAGCAAGAAAATGGAAACAATCAATGTGTCCATCAATAAATAAATGGATTGAAACATTGTGGTACATTTACATAATGCAATATTATGCAGCAAATAAAGAACAGTACTAAGGACTATTTTGTGAAATACTATATAACATTAGAGTCTAGAGAATGTTATGCTGAGTGAAATAACCCAGTCTCATAAGGATAAATACTGCAAAAGATCATTATTGTAAAAATAGAAGGATAATTTGTAAGATGTGAATAAAAGTCCAAAAAAGGAAAGAGAGAAAATAAACAAGATAATAGAATTTGATGAGAGGGGCATGTGGGTGTGAAGGAATTAGGAAAGATCTAATGAGTATCAGGAAAGATGGGGTAAAAATAGGCATAGATCAATAGCAGTTAATTTTATAAAACATATTAGTTATCAGTGATCATTTGATAATTACAGCTTACTCATTTCCACAACCAACACAACACTCATGACAGCAGCAGTTAGGAAATCAAAAGATAAATTGTATCAGGTAAATATGCTGTCAAGGACCTCTCCAGAGTACTGAAAAGCAACAACGTCAATGTGGAGACTAAGGTGCACCTAATCAAGGCCATGGTCTTTGCATCAGAGAGCTGAACAATGATAAAGGATTACAGAAGAAGAATCAATATTTTTGAGTTGTGATGCTGGAGAAGAGTATTGACTATACCATGGATTGCTAAGAGAACAGACAGATCCATCATGAAGAGAGTGAAAGGAGTTCACTTTGCTCTTGGAGGAAAGAATCACCATCTGACATACTTTGGGCATGTTGCAAGGAGGGGCCAGTTCTTGGAAAAGGACATCATGCTCGGACGGGTGGAGGGACAGCACAGGAGAGGAACACTCTGGATGATATAGGTTGTTACAGTTACTGGGAAAGTGAGATTAAGTGAGTCGGAGTCAGTGAGACTGGCTCAGGACAGGTCAGGGTTTAGAACTGCTGTACATAGGGTCGCTATGAGTCACAGGCAACTTGATAGCACATAACAACACAACAATAGTAGGCAAAGATCAATAGTAATTAACTTTATAAAACATACTGCATGTGAGTGATCGTTTGAAATACAATGTGAATGTAAGAGCTTATGAAATCCAACTTAAGAATTTTGTATACAAACTAATATGGCATTAAAATAACGTGGGGAAAAAAAGAAAGCAAAAGGTTTGCCATAATGGGCAAATCTGCCACACAAGGCCTATTTAAGTGATCAAGAGAAAGGATGTCTCTTAGAGATTGAAGGCATACCTAGACCAACAGAGTGTGGAAATTATTAAACAATATCATTAATATTACATGCAAGCAAGATTCTGCTGGAAATTATTTTTAAAAGACCAAAAACTGGAGCAGTATATCAACAGAGAATTGCCAGATGTGCAGCCTGGGGCTAAAAGAGGCTGTGGTACTAGGGATACTACAGCTAATAATTATAATTATATATGGATTTTGGCTGAAAGCAGAGAATACCAGAAAAATGTCTGTGTTTCATTGCCTATGCAAAGGCATTTGACTGTGTGGATCAAAACAAACTGTGGCTGACTCTGAGAAGAATGGAAATCCCAGAACACCTGATTGTACTTATGCAAAACCTATTCTTGGACCAGGAGGCAGTCATCAGAACAGAGCAAGGTGCCACAACAAGATAAAGGTAAACAACCCAATTGAAAAATGGCCACAGCATATGAACAGACACTTTACCAAAGAAGACATTCAGATGGTGAACAAACACATGAAGAAGTGTTCAAAATCCCTAAGTCTATGAGAGATGCAAATAAAAAACCTATGAGATATCATCTTACCCCAGTAAGAATTGCAAAATTCAACAGAACAGCATACAGCAAATGCTGGTGAGGTTGTGGAAGAACTGGAACCCTTATTCACTGTTGGTGGGAGTGTAAAATGGTGCAAAGAAGGCAAGGAAGGTGATAAGGCACGTTCTCAAAAAGTTGGGAATAGAAATACCATTTGACCCAGCAATTTCACTATTGGGAATATACCCTGAAGAAACCAGAACTTCCACTCAAGCAGATATATGCACACCCATGTTTATTGCTGCTTTGTTCATAATAACAAAGAGTTGGAAACAACCTAAGTGCCCATCAACAAAAAAATGGATAGAGAAGCTGTGGTATATTCACACAATGGAATACTATGCTGCATTGAAAAACAAAAAACTCATGAAATATACAAAATGTATGACCCTGGAGGACATTAAGCTGAGTGAAATATCTCAGTCACAAAATAGGTCTGACATCAAAGTTGGAAAGAACCTAAGAAAAGACGGGATGAATAATGTATACTACATTCAAACAGATGAGAGAGAGAACTGTTTAAAAGGAATATAGGATTAAGTATTATTTTCATGACAAGATTATCAAAAAAGAAATGCATAGTAATGTGGACTGTGGACTTGGGAGGGAATTGTATCACAATAAAAGAATTTTTTTTTTCTTTTCAAGGAGAAAAACAAACTGGGGGAGGGGTGGGCAGGGAAGAAAATATGTAACAATGAATGAATTGGGAAAATTTAAATGGAAATAATATGTTGTAAAAGAATATACATGTTGCATTAAAAAGATCATTAATAATTAAAAAAAGAAGAGACCCCCCCCAAATAAACAAGAACAAATAGATAAGAACAGAGCAAGGAGACACTGCATGGTTCAAAACAGAGAAGGGTTTATGTCAGAAATGTATCCTGTCTCCATACCTTTTCAAGGTATATGCAGAACAGATCATTCAGGAGGCTGGGCTGTAAGAAGAATGTGGGGGGATTGAAACAACAGGATTGAAAGAAAACTAATCAACATCCTGCATTATGCAGGTGACACAACCCTCCTTGCTGAAACTGAGGAGGACCTGAAGCACTTGCTGCCGAAGGTCAAGGACTACAGCCTTCAATGTGGATCGAAGCTCAACATCAAGAAAACAAAGATTCTTACCACTAGGCCAATTGGCAGCATGATAGATGGTGAAGAGATTGAGATAGTAAACAGCTTTAGTTTGCTTGGCTCCACAATCAACACTCTTGGCTCCAGCAGCCAGGAAATTAAAAGAGGTATTGCAATGGGAAAATTTGCTGTTAGAGACCTCTCCAAAATACTGAAGAGCAATGATATCACTATGGAGAGTAAGGTGCACCTGATCCAGGCCATAATCCTCCAAATTGCTTGCTATGTGTCAGAGAGCTGGACAATGCCTAGGGATGATAGAAAGAGAATTGATGCCTTTGAGCTGTGGTGGCGGAGAAGAATGTTAAATATACCATGGACTTCCAGGAGAACAAACGGGTTTGCCCTAGAAAGGGTGAAACCAGGCTGCTCCTTGGAGGCAAAGTTTTTGAGGCTTTGTCTGACATACTTTGGGCAAATTGCAAGGAGGGACCAGTCTTTGGAGAGCAACATCATGCTTGCAAGGGTAGAGGGACAGAGAAAAAGAGGAAGACCCTGAATGAGATGGATTGATTCTGTGGCTGGGCTACTGAGGGTAGTTGTGTCAGAGACAGTCAAGTTGGCACAGGATACAGAAGCTTTCCAGGTTATTGTACATACAGTTCCTATGAATTGCAAGGGACTTGACAGTTACATAACAACAACAACTAGACAAAGCTATGATATTTTTCAATTGCTACATATACATCCAAAGACTGGACAGTGAGTAGGAAGATCAAAGAAGAACTGGTGGCTTTAAATTATTATAATGGTAAAGAATATTGAGTAGACATACCATGGACTGCCAAAAAAACCAAACAAACAAACACAAAAGACTCAAAAATGTATCTTGGAAGAAGAGCAGTCAAAAATCTCCTTTGAGGTAGAGATGACTAGACTTCATTTGAATACTTTGAGTTTGTTATCAGGTGGTGTCAGTCCTAGAGGGCATTATGCTTGCTAAAATGGAGGGTCAGTGAAAAAGAAGAACTTCACTGAGATGAATTGACACAGAAGTGGCAAAAATGGGCCCGAGTATAGCAGTAAATGAGGGATTGGAGCAGGACCGGGTGCTGCTGAATTGGTTTTGACTCATAGTGCTCTATGGACAACAGAATGAAGTGCTGGTTGCCCTGTGGCTTCCCACAACCATTGCTATGAACCCATAATTAGAGCCATGGTGTCAAACTCATCTCATTTTGCTGAAGGCTTTCTTCTCCCCCACCCCCTATTTTACCAAGCATAGTATCGTAGTATCTCTGGGGTGGGTTGCTCCTGATAGCGTGGTCAAAATAGCCTCGTTTCTCAGGATCATTTTGACTGTTCATCTTCCAGAATAGTTTTGCTTATTATTCTGGCAGTGTCTTGTATATTTCATATTCTCAATCATCATTATGATTCAAATGCACTAATTCTTCTTTAATATTCCTCACTCATATATTCAGCTATTTGAGGAAATGTCAAACTGCTTTACAGAGTGGTTGTACCATTTTACAGTTCCAACAGCAGTGCATGAGTGCTCCAGTCTGTCCACACACTCTCCAACACCTAATTGCTTGCTATCCTATTAAAATTTGCTTTTGCCACTACTACTGAGGTGAGAGGGTATTTCATTGTGGTTTTGATTTGAATCTCTCTGATTGCCAGTGATTTTGAGCATTTCTTCAGATGTCTGTTAGCCCTCTGAATGTCTTCCTTCGTAAAAAGGCTTTCCTTGTCTTTTGCATATTTTGTCACTGGGTATTAGTCTTTTAATTGTGAAGGCCCTGTAGTATTCTATAAACTTGTTATGAGTCCTTTCTCTGAGACATCATTGCCAATTTTTTTTCCTAGTCTGTAGGTTTTCCTTTCATCTTATTAGGAAAAGTTTTTTTAACCATGTAGGGAAAGGAGAAGCGGAGGGAATCAGAGGGACAGAAGGTGGGGAGGGGAGGAAATCACTCGCCTAATAGTCTGGTGGGCAGAAGAGGAGGTCAAGGAATTAGGAAATATCAAAAGGGGATCTGAAAGATGGGAGAATAATGGGCCCAAATCAATGATGATTAATTTTATAAAACACAATGTATATAAGTGATCATTTGAAACATAATGTGAATATAAGAATGTGTGTAAAGCAAGGTACATGAATGATATAAAATGTATATGAATTTTGTATGCAAATCAACATAAAATAAAGTGGGGGAAAAACAATAGCACACATCTTGAATCAATGAGTCCTAAATTATTTATTTTCCCTCTTTCTTATTCTAAGCTTAATTCTTTCTGTGTTCTGTATCTTTCCCATTCTCTAAGAGAAAACTTCAAAACTGTTTTGATTCCTTAACTATATATCTATTTAGTCACCAGTTCCTTCAAAACGTGTAGAAGAAAGTTCACTGGAGTAGATGTTATGTAATACAATACACTTTATTTGCTCTACTTGCAAGTCCATCAACTCTTTCCTAAACTGTTACAAACACTCTCACCCCTTTACAGTTTTTGCAATTCTACTTCTTCAAATCCATCTTTCTAAATACAGAATAGATTAGACAATCCTCTAGTGGTAAAACACTGTAAAACTCAGAATATACTATAAAAATGCTCTTCACAATCTAGAATTATCCTTCCAGAATCTTCTCCCTATTCAGTCATCACTGAGAGTATCCTTAATTTCATCACAGTTGAGTACTATCTATTCACCCTCTCAATTTTGCATTTAGTAAGTCATTGCTAATAATGAGGTTTGGTTTTTGTTTGGTTGGGGTTTTTTTTCCTTTGCAGGTATAGTACATTAGGAATGACTACAAAATTTCTGGGCATCTATATCTTCTCTTTCTGAGTTTGGCAGACAACAGAAGTGATGCTGGGCCAGCTTCTACACCCAGCCCTTAAGAGACTCACAGTTTTCACTTCTATCTCTTGAAAACATGCTCTTGGAGCCCACCTGTGATGCTCTGAGGAAGTCCAAACTGCTTTTTAGAAACAACACCAGCTGATAGCCCTGGCTAATAGCCAGCCCACAACTTGCCAAATGGCCCCAGCTGAAGCCACACTAAGTAAAAAACAACAGTTTCTGCCAAGCCTTGCTTAAATGGAAGATTCATGAACAACCTAATTATCACTATTACTGTAAGCTACTAAATTGAGAGAAGGATTGTTACACAGCAATAAATTCTCAGAACAGAAAAAAAAGAAGAAGTGTAATGGAATGGAAGGAGCACACACAGTCACTGGGCCAAAAAATATTGATTGACACTGAAAAAATTCAGGAAGAACCATATGAACAAGAAACACTATTAATGAAGGGAAAAGTTCAAGCTGTACTGAAGTCAATGGCAAAGAAATTAGGCCCTAGGAATCTATGGAATACCAATAGATGTGTTTCAACTAACAGATGCAACCCTGGATGTGCTCATCAGTCTATGCCAGGAAATTTGGAGGACAGATGCTTGGCAGACAGACTGGGAGAGAACCATATTTGTTCCCATTCCAAACATTAACTACTCAATAGAATGTAGAAAATAGTGAACAATATCATTAATATTACTGAGGGGACAGCATACACCCCATTTCTTATAAACCCCTATTAATACCAGAAGCAGAAGCAGGCCATAAAAATTCTTAGCTTAAGGTAAATACAAATGCCCCAGATGAAGACTTATCTGTCCTTACAAAGTAAAGAATTAACTAGTGTCTACATGACACAAAAAGAGTAAAGGTGGGCAAAGTAGCCAGCCTGTCAAAAGCCGACCCACATGACTGATCCCCCAATCCACCAACCATGATCTCAATCTCCCCACCCAGACAGTGACACCCAGGAAAGCCATAAAAGCAATTCTTGGGTGGGGGGAGGGACTTGGGGCTTTTTCCCTCCCCATCTTTCTACTGAGGGAGAAAGTCTCCACTTGTGGATATTCTGGAATAAATGCTTTTTGTATTTATATATGTGTAAATTATTCTTTTGAGGGGAATTTCGTGGGCAGAACAATTACACAAGCAGAATACTGCTGAAGGTCATCCAAAAGTGACTAGAAGACTACACTGACAGAGAACTGTCAGAAATCAAGCTGGGCTTGAAGAGGCTGTGGCACACACATACACAAAAGTTTCACCATTCTTGCCTTCAAAGACACTTCCTCTAAGACATATTTGTTTATTCTTTGGCAGTTCATGGACTATTCGGTACTCTTATCTCCAGCATCACAACCCAAAGACATTAACTCTACTTCTTTCATCTTTATCCATTGTATAGTAAATAATAGGAAGGGCCATGGCTTACTCTACATCTGAATGACTTATCATTGATCATATAAGGTGGTTGTTGAAGTTGTGTATCAATGAATTGAACTGAAGCTGATCCTCCAGTGAATTTTCAGAGCCTTAAACCACACGAGAGTAGATCCTACATCTTTCTCCAGTGGAACAACGGGTAGATCCAAATCATGTGTCTTAGAATTGGCAGCACAACTTCTCAGCACCAGATTACCAGAGTTCCCTATAAATTGAAGGAGCAATAATAATAAAAACTAAAAAGTAAATGAGTATTTCTTTTACAACCAATTTTTTAGCATGTAACACCATTATAAATAAGGATCCATGAAACCTGTATACTGATCAAATTATTTGAGAAGTTGGACTTGATGAAGAAGAATGTGGCATCAGGACTGAAGACTCACTCATCAGTAACTTTTATTATGCAGATGATGAAACCTCGCTTGCTGAAAGTGAGGACATGAAGTACCTGCTGCAGAAGATCAAACAATGTGGCCTTTAATATTGATTGCATCTCAATGTCAAGAAAACAAAAATTCTTACCACTGGACCGATAGGCAAAATCATGTTAGATGGAGAAAAGATTGAAACTGTCAATGACTTTATCTTACTTGGAAAAGCAATAAATGCACTTCGCACTAGCAGTCAAGAGACATGTTGCACTGGAAAAGTCTGCAGTTAGAGACCTCTCCAAATTATTGAGGAGTAGTGATGTTTGAGGACTAAGGCATCTATTTCAGGCCACTGTATTTTAAATCACTTGTGATGCTGCTGAGAGCTCCATATGATGCACAATGAATAACAGTGAGAGAAGAACTGATGCAAAGAAGTGTTGGAGAAGAGTACTGAATATCCCATAGGCTGACAAAAGAACAAACATATGACTTAACGTTGATAATATAAAGTAGATGTTGGAGAAGGCGAAACCAGAATGCTCCTTGGATGCAAAAATGGTAAAGCTTCATCTCACATAATCTGGGCATGTTTCTAGGAGAGGCTATTCTTCAGATAAAGACATCATGTTTGAGAAGGTAGAGGATGGTGAAAGAAAGGAAGTCCCTTAACCAGGTGCATTGCTTTAGTGGCTACAGTAATAACCTTCAGTGTGTCAGAGCTTGTGAGGATGACACAGGATAGGACAAGGTTCCTATCTATTTTTCATAGGGTTGCTATGAGTTGTACTCAACTTAATGGCACCTAACAATGGCGTAACAGCAATCTATAGAAAGAAAGAGTAAAGACAGGATGATAGTCCTAAAATATATCTATAGTGCAGTCCTCAGAATTTGAATACATTATATAACATGAGATAAACTGAAAGCAATTAAGATTGCTAATCTGTTGGATTGGAGATGGTAAAACTATTCTGGATTATCTAGGTGGACTCCGTTTAATCATCAAGGCTCTTAAAAACAGAAACCAGACCATTTATTGGCTGTAGTGAAAGGAAGATATGACTAATAAAGACAGTGGAGTGTGGGGAAGAAGTAATACTATTGGCTTTGAAGATGGAAGAGGAAGGTGAGACTCTAGAAAAAGCAAGGAAATAGAGAATCTCTGACAGAGCTTCTGGGAAAGAGTGAAGCTCCATATATACCTTGATTTTAGCTCTATGAAACTCCTGTCAGAAATCTGACATACAGAATTTAATAAAGTTATATCCTTTTATGCCACTAATTTTTTATTACTTTGTTATGGTAGCTATAAAGAATTATAGTAAAAATAACAAGATCAATAAAACAAAAGCTGATTCTTCCAAGCCATGAGTAAAATGTTGTCATAGTGACCCTATGCATAATAGATCTGAAGGCTGCTCTATCCTGAGCCAATCTCACTGTCTCTGACACACCTACCCCCATTATCAAAGTCACTGTGTCAATATCCATCTCATCCAGGGTCTTCTTCTCATGTGTTGTCCCTCCATCTTTCCAAGCATGATGTCCTTCTCCAGGGACCGGTCTCTCCCAGAAACATGCCCAAAATAGATCAGCCAGATCTTCAAAATCCTTGCCTCCAAGGAGTAACTTGGTTTCACTCTCTCCAGGTCATGCTTTTTTTGTTCTCTTGGCAGTCTATG